CCCCCCCCCTCTACGCTCGTCGCGTCTAATGGACGCACTTAATTAGCTTTCAAAATAAAATGCGCCCCTCGATATATATATACATTTTAATGGCTTCGATTTAAGCTGCGCTTATTGACTGCCAGCCGAGTTGAACAAACGATTATGGTTTCGTTAAGGGATTTAGTTAAGATTCATTTGTAATCAAGATCTTTCGCATTGCGTGGCAAATATGTGGCACCACGGTGCGTATGATGAATGCCGTGCGCGGTAAACGCTTCATTTGACACGGCCATTAGGAACTTTAATAGACTTGTTATGGCATAAAGACTCGAAACTTTTAAATGCCATCAGAACGGAGTGCTGCTACTGCTGCTGCTGCTGCTGCAGCTGACTCATCTACTGCTGGCAGTAAGTGCTATAAAAATACAAGTACGAGTATTTTCATAAAATGAAATTTTCATGAACTGCAGCTCGGCTCTGCCAGTCTCTCTCTCTCTCTCCCTCTCTGGCCCTCTGTTTCTTTAAGGGAAATAGTTTGTGCAAGTTGCTTTGTCATTTTGCAGCAAGTGCGGCCTCAGATTCTGGCGGGTTGGCCGGCTGCTGTTTGGGCTGGGTTCGGTGGTTCAGTGGTTCGTTCGGCTGCATCCGCAGCGGTTTGTCTAAAGGAAGCGCCGCCAAAAAAATAAACAGCCAAAAAGGATGCGAAATGTAACGGAAGTGCGCGAAATTTTTGCACATTTTTGAGAAGCGTCTCCATCTACTTACTGCAGCAGCAGCAGCAGCAGTTGCTGCTGTTGTGGGCAGGTCTGTGCGGGTGGCGCAACTTTATGACATTTTAATGATGTCGACATTTATGACAGTTGGCTTGAAGATTTCGCAATGCTTTGACAGTTGGCCTTTTTTGGTAACGGATCGCAGCAACAAAATGCGCTCGTTAAACGCCGCACCAGGCCGCAAATTGAAAGCCAACTATAAATCGAATTCCACATTTTGTGTCCGACAAGTGCAGCAGTCAAAAGTTGAATAACTAATTCCGATGAATGCGCCCTTTACTTTTTCTTATTTCTATTAAATCAAAATGAAATTGGCAAATGGGAAAGGGCAGCAAGCATTTGTCAAGGCTACTCAGGCAGGCTTTATAGTCAGATGATCCTTAAGAAAATCTTTTCAATGTAGAACGTTTTAAAGCGCATAAAGAGCTACGTGTTTTTATAGTCAAGAGTTTGTGTATATTAATTTAAATAATTATATTTTAAAATAATTTCTTATGTAAAATCTCAGCTTCCAGCCGATTGTAGCTATGTGAGCTTCATGATATAGGAACATATTACGGCGAAGCTTTTGCTTAAATATTGGAAGACTATAAGTTTTGGCTAAATAAAATGGCTTATAAAAACTCAGAAGCAAAGAGTTGTCAAGGCTATATAGGCAGGATATATAGTTACATGTTCTTAAGCCAAATCTTGTCAATTCGATTAGAATGTTTAACAGCGCATAAGGAACTATATGAGCTTTGTTTCAGTCATGTGAGTTGTGTATATTATTTAAATAATTAAATTTAAAAATATTTTCTTATGTGAAATCTTAGTTCTCAGCCAATACTACCTATATGAGGTATATGATATAGAAATACGATGCTGAGAAGCTTTTGCTTAAATATTGGAGACAATTGAGCTTCAGATTCTCTCCAATATTGGGAAAAAAAAATCTTCTCAGCAACGTGTTGCTATATCATGTAGTCCACATAGGTTGTAAGTTTCAACAAAACCATGCAAAAACTCGACTTTGCGCCGATTATTCCTATCTTCATCTTTATGATATAGTTGTTCAGTGCTTAGGAAAACAAATAATTGAAATTTCTTGAAAAACATCAAACAAGAATTTAAATCGCGATATATTTTTCCTATTCCAGCTATATGTTATACTGTTTCGATCCGATCGACTCTAGTATATGTACAAATTGCAGCAAGACTAGAATCTATGAAGGATCTAAGGATTAAACCACATTCGCCCAGTTGGCCCTACTCCTCGCCTGATCCAATTAAACAGTAGTTAATTATTTGCCTCGAAAAAAAAAAGAAAACACATTCTGTGCGCAGCATATTTGATGTGCATATTTTAATACCCTTTGCTAGGATATACAAATAGGTTTAATATATCCACAGTCTGATGTGTGGCTCTGGCGAGCTGTTGAAATTAATTTTGCACAGTTTGTAAATCACACACGCCCCCACACAACACACACACACACACACCAGCGCACACACACAGAGAGAAACGGCGAGGTTGATTTGTAGCCCGTCGTTGTGGCTGCTTACCTGTTTGCTTACCTGGCAAAAGGGTCAGACATTCTGTGCCCAGCGCTCGGATTTGCGAATGGAATGGATTCGCCAGGCAAATATTGTGACATAAATCAATCAGCCAGCCAGGCAAACAGCATGCAAAACATGACATTTATTAAAATTCGTATAAATTCAGTACACGAAAATGTTATGAATCGCTTGAGCGAACGGGGCAATACCAATTCTATGAATTCCGCAACAAACAGCCAAACAGCCAAAGGACATTCAAGTTAATGCGAAAAAAAGCTGCGTTCTTAATTAAATACAGCCACACGCTGACAGCTGTGAATGCGAAATATATGTTTGTGCAGCGAAATATATGTTTATGCACATTTAACAAAATAAATATAACTCGTTTAGGTGCAGCAAAACTTTAAGTTTCTGCAGGGCCACAAATAACTTTCAAGGTCAGCCAAAGGGGGTGGGGGTGGGCGGGGGCTAATGAGCTATATATGTATGTACTTGATAACTGCGCCAAATGACAAATGCTTTTTTGTCCTGCGCTGCGTCTTTCATGAAGTTTTGTCACGCAAAATTGGCGAGCAGGCAGCATTGACACACCAGACGACAAAGTTTTCCTGACTTTGTGCATTTGCATATAGATTTCTGGTTTGTTCTTTTCTATTTTTGTCTGCGTTGAATTATATACACACGAAGGGCAATAATTATTGCAGTGCAGCAACGGCAACAACAAGTTGAAATAATTATTTTTATTTTGCAGTAAAATACAACTTAATTGTGCAACTTTTCACATAAATAAAACAGCTAACAATGTGGTGTGATAAAGGCAAACAACCAAAAACAACAACTCGGGCAAAAAAAGGTCATCAAAAGGCAACTTTGGCTGACAACAAATAAAAAAAAAAACATAAAGTTGTCGCCTCTTAAGTTGAGAGGCTTTCACCTGGAAGGCTGCAGCAACGCATTCACGAGCTCATTTATTATTATTTTGCGAGCAATAACAAATTTTCTTGAAAGCAAAAAAAAAACGGAAGATGTATATATGTTTATTTTTAAAATGATTTACATGGCCCAATAAAAGAAAACAAAGACAGCAAAGCAATATATATTAAAGAAGGTGTTGCTCAGAAAAAGAACGAAGCTCAAACACTCTACAAAAAAATAGAGAAAAAAAACGATTTGTTTTCAGCACAAATTAAAATTCCCTTCGCTTTTCTGTTCGTCAATATGTGCTACTAAATAATATAAATATGATATATATATTTGACAATATGTCTTTTTAAGTTCTTAAAAAGATAATAAGACTGCTGAAAGCTAGGTTAGGGTATCTGAGTGAGTCCTCATATAATATCAAGCACTTTGTCACTTTTTTGTTGAGCGTAAAAGCAAAGTTCGGCAACGCAATTTTGTTGTTTTGGTTGGAGCGAGGGCAAAAGTCGATTAGATGTTAAGATATGCATGTGCGTTTTGTCAAATGTATTAGCAGCACACACGCACACACACACACACATAGACACGCACAACAAATTATACAGCTGACTGGGCGTGGCAGGCAGCGAGCTGCTAATACATGGCGACAGCAGCAGACAGGGATCTAGACATAATTCAATTAGGCAGATGTTAGATTGAAATGTGTTAACAATTTTCGATTACTAAACTGGCTATCGATTAAAAATCGATAACAGCTGCGTGCTGCTAATCGCTAGTATATAAATATATAATATATAGCTAGTCGAAATAGAATTATTAAAAATGTTAATCAAGTAAATCGGAATTGAACAGACTTTGAATCAATAAATTAAACTTAGCCTGTTATTGTTGGAAAATCCATTTCGAGTTAAACATTAAATATATAAAATGCAAACGCTAAAAACTTGTACATGTCGCAAACGTCAAATGGTTACCCTGCCTGCCTGTCACCTGAGGCGTCAAACGTGGCGTATGCGCAACATTTGCATAAACAAACATTTAAGCGTTCGCGCTGCTCTTTTGCAACGGACGTGGCTTATGGCAACTTTTATGTGTGCGTGTGTGTGTGTGTGTGTATTTGGCCAGGAATTTGCCAAGCTTAACTTGAGGTTTATTTAAACCGAGACCACATTAAGTTAAATTAAGTAGAGGGAGGCATTTGCTGGGCTCAGTTTTCGTTCCACTTTTTGTATTTTTTTGTCGTTTTCAATTACACTTAAGCTTAAAGTGCTTGAAATTTGTTGTTGTAGCTGCAGCTCTTCATAATTTTATTAGGCAGCTTTTTTAGCCGCTGCCGCTGGGATACTTGCCATGTGCGACTCTCTCCACAGAGTTGGAGAGTTTCAGTTCAGGCACCCTGCGGAGCGTATTCAAAGTATATAGACCCACTTTTCACATCGTTCGAAACGTGGCTGGCATTTAAATGGCATATAACACTCCGCCCCTTTTTGCTGTTTTGTTGCAAAGTTCTGCATTTGTTGTGCCACTTTTTTTTGGGGGGGCTGGTGTTGCCTTCAGTTCATCTGGCGCTTAATTTAGTTTCGAGTTCTTGGTTGCCGACTGTCTGGCCGAGCAATTTATCAGCAGACGTGCTAGTTTAGCTTTTCCTTTCGTTCACTTTTGTTATTATTTTTTGCCTTGGCTAACTACATTTTAAGCTGCGCAGCATTTGGCCAAGTTCTAAGCCACTTAACTTGTCTGCCGTGCCGCAGCCATAAGCCATTAGGTGCAAATCAATTTCGACTC